TTTCCTTCGCTGCACTTTTCCAGGATGTTTCTGGGTCACTTGCTGCTGCATGAGGCATTACCTGGCTTCATGTGAGCTGTGTCACCCCTAATCAGTCTCACACTGTGGCAACAAATAGTGTCCAAGCGGAGACGGAATTTTTTCCACCCCGAAGCCTGCGAGAGAATGGGCTTCTGCAGCAGGAGATGGCGCGTTACCTGCTGCTGGCTCCTGTGCAGTCCCCAGCTCTGGGCTGCAGGTCACAATTTGTATTAATCACAGAGCAAAGTTGACACTTGGACTGCTAGAAAATGAAAGCAAAGGTGGAAAAAATAAACTGGAAGTGGGTATAAAAGAAAAACAAAACCATAGAAGGTGTAACAGGAAGGAATGTGAGCAGGCTGTATCACAGCGCCTTCACATCCAGCGATGCCGATCATCAAAAAAAGCTTCACCCGTCCTTTTTCACCTGTTTGTTCTCAGGCTCCCACACTGCTCTATCAGGATGTCCCCTCCAACACGTGCAGCATCTCTGCCTCGAGCCACATGTCCTCCCTGCAGCCAGGTGGTTCTCCAAGCACAGAACCTGGCTCACAGCATGGCCAGGGACCCATGAAATGCCACTCTCCCATGCAAACCCTGTGAACCGTGCTTCTCTCCGCCAGGCTGTGTGCAAGGCATCCTGCTTTCCTAAAGTTCCCATGAAATCACAAAAATGTTGGGAGCTTTCTGGGAGGGAGGGCTGCCTTTCCCATCCATGAGTGCATCCCTGGGGAGCCCCCTGAGCGCCGCACAGCACCGCAGCACCACTCCTGTGGGGCATCAGGAGACTCCACGGGGTACAGGCTTGGTCCTGGCACTGCAGACCTGGGGATATGGGCTGACACCAATGAGATGAGAGCAGCCCTGGCAGGAGCGGGCACGACACGGCACTCGCTGGCACTCGCTGGGATCTCTCCACGGCTTTTTGCTGGCCAAAGCTCCGTGACAAAAGCGTCAAATCTGGAATTTTAACCCATAGCCAACCCATGAAATTTCAGCTGTTTTTTTCCATGAAAACATCCAGCTCCTTTCCTCGCCACGCTGCGGGGCGCCAGGACCAGCAGGACGGCACCTCCCGCAGAGCCGCAGAGTGGAAGCAGCCGGTGCCAATGGGGAAACTGGTCTCACTGGGCAGGCAGCCCAGTCATGGCTGGGGCAGTGCCAGCAGAGCGGGGCAGGGGGCCCACACGGGGCAGTGCCATGCACACATGGTCCTGTGCCCCTTGCAGGATGGATTTGCAGCGTGTGAGGCTGCGCTGTGACTTCAGTGCAGGTGGCGGTGGGAGTTAGGGGACAAAAACTTCAGGAATTAATTTTCTCCTCTTAACGTCGCTCTTCCATTTGATTCAAGAAGAGTAAAGGCATCGTCGCCAAATAAAATATTAACTTATTTATTCTATCTCAAGCCCCTGAAAATAAAAGTAATTGCACATAACAAGCAGCTGGAGGACGCACACGGTGGCAGCATCCAGTGGGATAGCAGAGGAGATCAAGGTGAGCTAAACAACATCCTTTCAAAAGTTCCTACTTTATTCAGGCTTTGAAGTGGCACAAGGAGCTTCAACTCATTGTTCTCAGCCCTGGTAGTGCTGGAAAGTTACAGAAGGACCTCGGCTGATGTGGGAAGCCAGCAACCTTCGGGAAAGGGCTCTTTTGTAGCCAAAGTGCCCCATGACACAAAGCAGGAGAGCGGTAACCCTACAGATAATTTCCTCATTCTGATTGGGGATCAATTGACCACTTGCTCCCATTTATTCCCTCCCGGGCCTGGCTGCCTTCCAGCCCTGAATGCAAAGCAGTCACTCCTTATTTCCAAATGCAAATGAGGCAATGAAAGGCCCGGCTTTGAGATCAGCATTATTCCCCTGGGTCCCGACCCTCCCCACCGCTGCCCTCACCCCGTCCTCTATCTCTGACTCTGTGCTCTGCCTTTCCAGAGCAACAAAGGTTAGGAGAAATAAAAGCAGAGCGACTACCATCTGGGAATCATCAAGGCAGAGTTTGGGGGGAAGGGAGCGAGCTGCAAGGACCCTGCTGTACACAACTGCCCAACGTCATCCATGCATTCCTCAGCCCACACAGGACCCAAGCAGGATGGGGATGGCCCCAGCATCACTCACTGGAGCATAGCAAGGATGCAGCAGCGAGGTGAGCTCTGCAGCTTGAACTGTGTGGCTGCAGTACCCTGGGTTTCCCTGAGCTGGGGCTGCAATTGTGCTCCCCACTTAGCTGGGCTGCAGCTGTGCTATCTGGTGTCTGCAGTGCAGAGCCCAGCTCAGCACTGTGTTGGAGCACCACACCGGAGCACTGCACTACAGTGCTGTGCCAGTGTGCATCTCCTTCCAGCAGTGCCCATGCACCCACCCAGCCAGAGCACTGGGTAAAGCAGAGTTGACACAAAGGTGGACTTCGGGTTCCAGCTTTTGTCCTGCTCTCCTTTCTCCACATCCAGTGCAGCACACAAGTCCATGCCAGCACAATGGGGCTGCAGAACTCGGGGCAGTTGATGGGAGAGGGGATTCCTGCCCCAACAGCTGCCGAGCACCCGTGTCCCCTTCCCCTGCATTGAGCTCCTGACATGTCCCACCACATCCCTACATACAGGGCTGGGGACGGGGACCTCCCCGTGCCCCCTCTCTGCAGGGCGGTGCTGCTGCAGCTCATCCATCAATGAGCTCTCTGTCCTCCACAGAGCCTGGAAATTAACCCCCCCGTAAATCTCCACCACTGCCACTCCGTGCTGGTGGCGAAGGGCCTCGCATTCCTGAGTTTCAGGCCGCAGCCACGTCCTCAAGAGCAGAGCCACAAGAGCTTTCTGATGGTTAATTGCTGGCACACTCTCACTGAAAACATGAAACACCCCCTGACAAGCCGCGTGATTTATTACTGCCCACTGCAAAACGGAACAAAATCAATTGGCTATTACCTCACTTAGCGAAGCCTTGTCACCGCCTGGGAGCAGGGTGTTAAAAATAAAAGCCAGGCACGGCCCAGCAGTGAGCCCCACACCGTGGCTGCTCCACCTGCTCAGCAGCAGATAACACCGGGCTGAGCATTCCCAATCACTGCGGCGCTGGTGCACCACCGGCTCGTTCCCGCTCTGCAGTTATTAATTACACAGATGTCATCACGAGTGCCGTGCACAGTACATTTCAGAAGAGATGCAGAGCGGGGACAGAATATTTGTTTATGGCAGAAACGTATCCTGTAATGAACTGAACCTATTTGACCCATTCCCAACCAGGAACTCCCCGTGCACTGCAAGCCTCAAAGCTGCCATCCCTGGGCTCCTTTGGGTGCTTTCATGGTCGCTCGGTGCTTGGCCGTATTGGGGACGTGCCCTGGTGCTTGTGGGCCAAAGAGTTGACCAGAAGGGCAGATGCACATTTACAAGGTATTTCAGAAACTAAATGCTTCCTCTCCTTGCATTTCATCGCCTTTGTTTCATTCCCAAATCACTTGCAGGCTCTTCCAGTCAGAGCAGGGAGATGCTCCTCCCATGAAGCTCCAAACCGTGCAAAGCATAAAGAGGCTGCATTATTTATAGACTCCGGATAGATATTTCACTCGCAGTCCGTCCCATTCCCAGCATTCCCTCCATTCACAGATCATTAAGTAGCACTTGCTGACATATAAGGCAATGCAAGTGGAGTGGTTAACTTTGAATATTGCCATCCATCCCGGTGTTAAATGAGATTCAGAAAGTAATTGTCCAAAGAGATAGGAAAGCATTTGCCCTGCCAAATAATGCAGAGCATCCCAGAGGCGCCAAGCAATAATGTTATGGCAGGGGCACCGGGCTGCACAACCCCATATGCTGCCCTGCACTGCCCTTGTCCAGCCAGCCAGTGGGACAGCACTGTGCTGAGCCCAGAAGGGTTCTCTCTCCCTCTGTGCTCTGTTGCTCAGAGGTTTTCCTTAGGCAGTAAGAATCTCACAAGAGCTTGGAGCAGCACTATGCAGTTCCCAAAAATGCCCTGATGGTAAAACCCCACAGACAGCACCCTACAGGCAGCACCCTGCACCCCCCAGCCAGCACCCCGCGTGCTTGCTGGTGCACCGGAGGTTCTTGGGGGCAGCAGCACTCATGCTGCCCACACAGTTGCAGCTAACAGCCACCTCGTGCTCCAGCACTTCCATTTCAGTCCATAGCTCTGTGTGCTGCAGCCGCAGGAGCGCCGGGGCCAGTGGAAAATGGGGCTCTGAGCTCATGCATCTTATTTTAGCTCCCCATCCTCTCTGGAAGCTATCTCAGGCATGTTTTGGGAATACAGCAGGTATTTTTATGAGTGGGATTTGCAAGGGTATTTTCATCTTAGGCTTGGAGACAGCTGGGCCTGCTGCCAGGCACAGGGAGCACAGAGGCAGAGGCAAGAAACATAAAACCAGTGAGAGGTAGGCTTCTTACTGGGGCTTATATTTAGCAGAGGGGAGCAGGAACACTTTTAAATGGCCTCGTGCTCTCCGTGCCAGCGTGTCCCCTCAGCCAGGTCACAGGGGCCAACCTTGACCAGGCTGGGGAAGACAACAGGAACATGTCCCCATTGTTGGCACTTGTGTGGCTTGGCACATATGGCACCAGGATTTGGGCACAGGGCAGGGCAGGAGCTGCCACCATGTCCCCTTGAGGTGTCACCACCACTGGGGAAGCAGGAACAAGACTGCCTGCCCTGTGGTGGACAACAGCTGACGGCCAAGCAGAGGGGCTGGGGCGATGCACGACCTTGGGGTGACACGGAGAACACGAACCCAGCAGCTGCACCATGCTTGGCCAGGAGCCTGCACGCAGCCATGGCATGGCGAGCACGGCCAGCTCGCTCTGCAAACAAAATGCCTTCTTCCCTGGGAGAGGAAGGAAAAAAAAAAAAAAGCTTCAAACCAAGAAACAGCCAGAGACCATTTTTGTTTTTAAAGCATCGCCTTTATTCTGTTCATTTTGAATTCTTTTGTTTTGCTGGAAATGGACATACAACCACTGTGTTCCCTCCCCTCTGCCTGGAGTAGAGTGCCAGCCCACAGGGTGCCCCACGCTTCCCTTTGCAGCTTGGCTCCTCTTCCAAACCAACAACTGGTCTCAGATGGGGCCTCAAGCACAAAGTGCACCCTCTCCTATAGCTAGTATTAATTCTATTGCACCTGGCAAAGGTGTGCTCAGCATCTCCTAGGGTGCTCAGCCACCCTGTGGCTTAAAGCCCTGCTGATCTCAGAGTCGAGCGCACACACTTTGGCTGATGCAGCTGGAGGGGCACGAGCACACAGTGCTCCACCATTTTGAGCCCACCCTCAGTGTGCAAAATGGTGGTGGGCACAGCTGCACCCATCGGTGGCTGCGCTGTGTGCAGAGCTCCTGATTACATCTCAGTTGTCATGCCACTCAGCGAGCTAAATTAGAGCAACTAATTGCACCTCTCTTTGAAACAATCAGGATGACAAATCAGTGGTAATCTCTTCAGTTCTGGAGAGAAGCTATCGCCGCTCGCTTACAAGGATTAATCAGCTTTTCATCAGTGTTTTTAGACCAGCACTGCCTCAGGAGGAGCCCCGAAGTCACACCGGCCACGCTCACACCGTGGGGACACCAAGATGTGTGGATGTGATGGAACACCACACAGCAGCCCTCATTCGCAGCCCTCTGCACAGCACTCACAAGGAATGGCAGTAGGAGCAGCATGAGCTGGGCTCCAAGGACACAACACTGCCACCAGACCCACAGCGAGCAACCCAGCACCATTGGGAGCTGCTCTGCAGGGACTAGGAGAAGAATCTGCACAGCCTCAGGTTTTTTGGCTAGGGCAGGTGACTGTTTTGCTCTCCGTGGTGATTTAAACTCTTTGTCGGACTTGTGTGACTTAATGAAGAGCTTAACCTTGAATTGAGTGCATTCACACATTCAGAGCAAAAAAAAAAAAAAAAAAACCAGGAAAAAAAGATGTAATCACTGCAGTGGCATCTTACAGATCAGAAGGGGAGAAGTAAATATGTGGTACTTCTCTTCTTTGGGTAATGAGTTGCAGGAGATATCTTGGCAAGCCCTCACCATTGCACCGCAGAGGTTCGTTCCATGAGTCAGGAGTTCACACCACAAGCACCGCTCTGGATCCATGGTTTGGGGCTGCTGCAGGGAAATCCCCCACCCCCTGTTGAGCTGGAGCTGTCAGCAGGCACTGCTGGGCCCTTCAGTTCTTCACCACGGCATGGCTGTGCCCATACAATCTGCTTGCTGCCAAACAAAGGTAAATGAGCAGCTCTACCATCTCTCTCCTGGAGACAGGGATTCATCATCTTCCACACTTCCACTGCACTTCATGGCAATCCCAGAGCACTTTGCATCTCCCTGCTGTTAATGCTGAGGATAGCAGAGAACTTTTACAGAAAATTCCTGAGATCCTGTGCTGCACCAAGCAGGGGTGACCACTGGTAGGTCCTGAAGGAAAGACAACACATCTCCATGGACAAAATGAACCCACTTGCATTTGATGGACCCACTGTCTTACTATCACAGGCCTTCCCCTTGATCCACAAGGACCTCCACACCAGACCAAGCAGGAGCTAAACACACAAGCAGAAGCATGGGGTGCACAGAGAAAAGGGGAAGGCCACGGTGCTGGCATGAAGACCCCCGGTGACAAATTCTTGCCCTTAGAAGAACTTCTTTTCCATGAAGCACTCAGAGCCCTTAGGGGGCTCACGGCACTGCTGCACCCTAGAAGAACTCTGCAAAGAGCACATGGCATTTCAGACCCCTGCCTCAGTTTCTCCAACTGCAGGTTACTCCATTCCCTCCCGAGTGCAGCCCTGCCAGCCCCACTCTCCATGTTGAGCCCAGGCTGGGCTGGGGATAAAACCCTGCATGGCCCTTCTTGGGGAACCACACAGGGATGCATTTGCCACAGCTGGATGTGCCTGGCCAGGTCCCTGCCTCCCAGACCCAGCCCACTGTGACCTTAGAGGCTGAACAGGAGCGCAGCTCAGGAAGAACCTTGCTGCTGTTGCTGCTACTCCATCTGCATCACTGCTGGATAAGGAGAGAGTCTTGAGCTCAGGAAGGGTTGGTCAGCATCTCCATCACCCTGTGCTGTGCACCCTCTCTCCAGAGAACACCTCTGGGAGTCAATCTCTGTGAAAGCAGCAGGCTGGTGGCATTTATGCAACTGAATCAGCCCTCTCAGTGTGCAACACACCTCCAGTATACACTTTACAACCTGTACACACCTTCCCTCACTCTCTCCATCACTGTGACCACGGTGCACCTACCTGCAGACAAAGGCTTGATATTCCTGTCCATCCTGTCTCCTGCCAGGACCAACCAGGTCCAGTAGGCATCTGAGCCTCGTGTTCTCACTTAGGTACAGGTGAGTGCTGCTGCCAGTGAGCCTGCCAAGTGCAGCAGCTCTGAGTGGGAGCCTGCCCTGCTGTGAGCCAGGAGATATTCCTTGGAGTTCAGGAGGCAATTGGCACCAAGGGCAGCACGGTGCTGCCTGGGGATGCCAGCTGGGAGGGCGTCCACATGGCTCTGGGTTGAATCACAACCTGTAATGGATGGAGAGCAGAGTGGGTTAGCAAAACTCAGCAAGAGTTATGGAAGCTTGCCTAACAGCAGCTTGGTGGGGCTTCAGAGCCTGTATCTGCAGAGATGCTGGCATTCAGGGCCCCTGGACCATCATCCTAAAGCAGCATCTTCCATGAAAAGAAAGTGCAGCCAGATGCTGTGGCCCGAGAAGGGCCTTAAGGCTGTGCTGGGATCCTGATGAATGCATGCCAATGCACCAGCACCCAGCACAGCTCTCTTGTCGTGCACAATAGCCAGCTCTGCTAAGTTACAGCATTTAGATTGCGCCATAAAAATGCAATGGTGCACTTGAGTTACATAAAGATATAACTCTTGGAGGAGAAAAGGCTCTTGATGTTTCCCCATGGCAGGATTCTTAGGTACGTTATGAATGCTAAAGTCATGGATGGGAAGCGAATGGGAAGATGAACAAGCCAGGTGGCAGCACCCTCAAAAACACTTAAACTAAAAACCACTGAAAAATGTAAAAGAAAATGGAAATCTCCATTACATTCCTGCTACCAAAGAAAAAACCAACATCTTCTACAATATGCTTGTATGTTATAAACATACACTATGCAGCATACATAATTATAATTTCACTGTCCGAATGACATGTATGTGCATAAATGTAATACATGCATAAAATATTACAGCTGTATTTAAGTCATCTTCATGAGCACATACAGAAGGCACCCAGGCTTTCTCCCAGGGGGCTCATAGCATGGAATCAGGAGCTGTCCTTATCAGCAGGGCTCTTTCTGATACCAGAGCAATTACATCTACATTTTTCCCCCCCTCTGAAAACCAAACTCACTCCCACCTGAACTACTAGAATTTGCCAGGGTGTTGGTGAACAGTTTATTTTGTGGCACATTAAACTACCCACAGAAGACAGCCCGATAAGGAGTGGGGATACAAAGCACTGCATCTGCTCTATCCCAGATGGGTTTGCTGCAGATCTTCTGTTTGCAGCTTTACTCGGGCCAAGTTAATTAGAAATGTCTGAAAGTCAAAGCATGGCTCTCGCATGAGGTCACAGGGAGCTTCCCAGTGCTTTCTGTAAGCAGGGCTCATAAACACAGCCCCTCCCTGGTGTGCTGCAATCGCTGCCCATCACAAAGCCATTTTGGATCAAAGGAAGGGGTTAACCTCCACGCAGTCGCTGCATTGAGTCTTGGAGGTCTGAATGCTGCCAACTCCTGAAAAATGGCCACCAGGCAAGCTGCTGAGAATAATCAGAATAAGATTGGAAGGTGTCCACATCAATCAATCACTCGCTGACAGATGACTGGAAGCCCCCACTGTGACCGTGGACAGCTGACCAACTCTCAGCTTAAGCTGAAGTCTAACATTAGACTGTTTGCTGCGTGTGGGTGGCTGCTGCGTTATGACCTTAATAGTCAATCAATCTTGAGATGAGTGGTCTGTCTGGCAGAAACATTAATTATCCATACTATTCATGCATTGAAAAGCTTTATCTTCAAAAACTCAACGTCACTTAGGGAGGAATAACAGAACCTGGAGCAAGAAAATAAGCCTGGCCTCAGCTCCTGGCTGGGAACAGGATGGTGTGGAGCAGCTCCAGGGATCTGAGCAGCCCCAGACCAACCACAGGAGCAGGGCACTGCCCTGGCTTCCGTGCTGGTACCCCTTCAGTGAGCTGAGAGGCTGCTGCTGGAGCCGGTGCCAAGAGGAAGACGAGGGGGAGAGATATAAAAGGACAACAAACACATCAATTAAACCTTGCAAGCTGTTAGTCACACTAGTTAATAAGTTCTTTCTATCTGTAAAGTGCTCTTAGTGACAAATCCTTTAACTGGCACTCAGTGTTATTATGGCTTTCAAGATGCCTCTGCCTTTCATGTGCAGCTTCTTGTACACATGTGAGTGCTCCCTGTTGCGCAGTCTGTTTACACTAGTTGTGAGAAGGCATCATCAAAGCAAACTGAAAGCAACACTAAATGCTTGAGAAAAACAGAATTCATTCACTGCTGCCTGCTCTGAAATCGCCTCTCCCCTGGTTGGAAGGCAGCCGTCACAGCAGAGTGCAGTGGGAGGAGAGGGGGGAAGATGCATGGCTGAGGCTCAGCTCACCCTGCTGCTAAGACTGTAGGTTTAGGAGCAAGGAGACCAGCACCCAATGTGGCACAGAACCACAGCAAGCACCCTGGGGTGCACATCCTGGCACAGGTGAGGCCATGCCCAGGGCACAGCTCCACGGGCACCACTAAGGGAACCATCTCCTGTTCAGTCAAAGTCAAAGCAATTAGGCCTCTGCGACGTTAGATTAAAAAAGAGACAGCTAATCAGAGACCATCCATAATCTATCACATTCTGCAGGCCACAATTCAGCACGCCTTGTCTGGACTGATTATATTTCCTGAAAAATGAACGGTGACTCTCGTGTAGATGCAAGTTACATTTCTGTAAACTCTCTGCCACACAAATTAAAGTATTCATCACCTTAATAAACATTAATGCGGAATGGTCATTTATTACACTCAAAAAGATACATACTCTTAAAGCAATCATTGCACATTTTTGGTATCCAACACACCCACAGCACAAACGTTTGTGGCTCTGCGCATAGATGACAAGCAGGCTGCCTGCCAGCTGCCCCTGTGCCATCCTCCTGCTGTGAGCTCCTGCTCCAGGATACCGTGTGCAAATTGAGCCTAGGAAGTCCACATCTACAGCATGCCTTCCAACATCACAGCTGGTGGCATACAGCAAGGAGCACCCCAAAGTCAGAGTTGCCAACAGCTCTGCACCCAAAGCCTCCCTCTACTGTGTCACTGCTTATCCATATCGCCAAGTAGGCAGGTGCTTGGAGCAGCTCTCCCCTCTGTGCCCCACGATGTGCCCTTGGGAATGCCTGCACAGGGAAAGCCTTTCAGGGCTGGTGGCTGGCAGGTTACTGCAGAGCTGCTGCTTCCAAACCGGGCCAGAGAAAGCCCTCTGCTCCCCACAGCAGTCATAGGGACTAAGCCAGGGGTGGTGCAGCCCAGGAGCAGGATGGCAGCAAGAGCATTTGGGAGGGCTCCAGCCTATCAGTTGCATGTGATAATGTTAGCTCTCATACCCCAAGAAGATTCTCTGTGCAACCTTGTCTCCTCCAACTGGCTCAAGGCTTCGCTGCTGGTGTCAAGTGGCAACTTTCTGGATTTTGACCTTGCTGGAATTCGCTCCTTGTGGGGGGAAACCAGTCCATAAAGTTCCCATTAGCGTAAAAGCAGATGTAAGCACTTTGTTGGCAGAGTTCAGCAGCAGGGAAGCCTGCAGTTGATCAGTTCTGCCTCACTGGTCACTGCAGTCAACAGGAATTACTACAGAGGATTTCTGTGCCCCCTCTCCCAGAGCTCACCCTTCTCCAAAAAAGATTTAAAGAAACCAGCCGAGCTCAGGCACCGCTCCAGTATAAGGCAATAAATCCGTGTGATTCATGCAGAGGGGAGTAGCACCTCGTCCAGGAACAGCCAGCAGGAGAGCAGCATGACTTTGTTTATTGTACGAAACAAATCTAACTGTAGGGACTGCATGGTGCTTAGCATGAGGAGCAAACAAGGTAAGAACACCAGCGTGCTCCTGCTGGAGGCTGGGGCTGGCGGTGCTTCCCATAAGAAGGGACACCACCCACAGTGTCCCCAGGATCAGGGATGAGGGCTCAGCTCCCTGCCTGGCAGTGGGGCCATATGCAACAGCCACGGCTCCAGCTCCATCACCGACTTCTCCATCCACATTACACTGAAAATCAGCACCAACTGACCTGGTTTCAACTAGTTTTGCTTTATGATTAACAGTCTCTGGGCCCCTATTCACTCTGTTATTCTCACCAAATTAAAGAGCAGTCCCGGATCCTCGTTAGATTTGCTCACATTTGAGCAGTGTCATGTGGTCAGTAGCCCATGGCAATACACTAAATTAAAGGCCTAATGCAGAATCCACCTACAAGCCTGACAACTAATGAATCGAAAGCTCCAGGCCCCAGAGGACCTGCACTGGGATGAAGCCACTCCACACCGAGCTACAGCACGAGTGCAGTCCCTGGGCTGTCATTCAGACATAAAGAGTTGATTAATTTTATTCACCACAGGACACACAAACAGCAGCATCTCCTCCCGGCCGGCCGCCCGTTCACTGCGCGGCTCCCCATGCCGCCAGCGATGCGCTGCAGGAACAGCAAACGCACTCCTTGCTCAGCTTCAATTAACAGCGTTCAGCCCCCAGCACAGAAAAGCAGGCCCTCTCATTCATGACCAAGATGAGCCCCTCTCCTTCCCTCGCATCAGCGGCCAAGCGAGCGCTGGATGTAAACAGCGGGGCCAAAGCGGCGGCCATCAATTCTGCTCTGAAGCATTTCAGGTCGGAGCTCTTGTCTGGAAAGGTTCAGCCTGTTGTATCAGACAGCTCCAGCACCGCAAAGGTCAGGGCTGTTTTGGTAAGGAAATGTTTGCTGAAACCCTTCCCCTCCCCCAGATTCCTGCTCTCGGCTTCACACACGCGCTCACACTGCTCCAGCCTCAAGAAATGGAGAAACTACAGCAAAGCGGTGCTGCTCTGCTCAGCCTCATCCCCAAAGATGCAAACGCAATTTTCCAGTGGGCGGCTCTACTGACAAATGCAGCTATTTGTATGACACGTATAAATGTGTGTGCACAATGGACTGGGGAAAGCTTTCTGCCTAAATATTGTCAACACTCTGACAACGTTTTTATTATACCAGCAAATAATTTGTTTTGTTGCTGCTTAATTAGGAATCAATATCGTGCCTATGTTTAATTACATCCCCCATTTCGGAATGGTTGGGATCCTGTTTGTTTTTTTTTTTTATCCCTACAGAGATTAGGGACCTAGTATTTAGGATTCAGAGTGCACAGAGGCTGCCTGTAGGAGAGAACAGCCCCATTAACAGAATGGGCGTAGTTAGCAGCATCATTATTAACTATAAACAACACTCATGCAGAAAGGTCAGAAGCACACTTACCCTTTCCGATCTGTAAACAACCAATTATTCAGCTCATCAAACAAAATAACGTGTGAGTATTTACATACGTGTGGTGTTTGCACATGTAAGTGGGTGCGATTGGGTGCATCTGTCCTCACCATCAGACACCCCACGCTGGGACATCCCTACATGCAAAATCTGATGGGAACTCTGTGCACAAGAGCCAGAAGAGCCACCCTCTTCTTGCTGCAAACCCCTTATGCCAAAGGGAGACATCTGGCCTGGCGATGTAGCCAAACCAGGCACCATAGTCGGTGCTTGCTGGCAGGCAGCAGCATCGTGGCTCTGTCTGGGAGCATGGACTCACCTTCTTGCAGTGTGCAAATGGACTGGATACAAACAATATCCTGCACTGTGTCACAGCTGGCTGCACGCTAACTCTTGCAATTACTTGCTTGTAAATAGCAACCTTTACGTGTACTTGACTCGTGGCATCTTTACGCACTCCATCTCCACAAAACCCCCCGAGCACAGCCTGGAGGAGCCACCTCCCACCACAGCCCCAGCAGTGCTCTCACCCAGCTGAGTCTGCACAAGGCAGGACACAGCTGTGCTGAGGCTCCTACCTTCGTGGCTGCAGGTTAGGGTTAGAGTCAGGGTTGCATCGCATTGTGTTGCATTGCACTACATTGCTCACCTCCCATCTCCTCTGAAGCCCACTTGTGTCTCCTACCCAAAAGATAGCGATGCACAGCCAGCTGTGCACTGTCACCACTGCTGCACAGGGTGTGCATGTGGACATCCTCATCTCCAAAGCACACCCCTGTGTCTGTGGCACAAGCAGAAAAGCAGCACCCTCCTCTTTTTGGCACATCATTACAAAGAAGCAGCAGCCTGAAAACCTGCCTTGAAAAGCACAGCTCTGCAGACATGGGGCAGTCAAAACCACTGCATCTTAGGAGCAAACATCAGAACCCAGAGAGGCAGAAGGCTGGAAAACCCCATGCTGCACTTTGTTATGGCACTGCAATGCCACGCACTGCAAGCCTCCCTCTCCTCTCTATTACAGGCAATGAACTCATTCCCACTGTGTGGAGATGATGGGGCAAACAGAAGCACTGAAGGCTGAAACACATTTATTTTTGACACTATTAGGTGCACAGCCTACAAGCCCAGCATTTCTCCATCTGAGCAAAGCACAACCACTTCTTTAAAACAGTCTCTAATGCTAGAGCTGCATTTTAGCATTAATTTCTTCTCCTAGACAGACTTCAATCTCATTAATTTTAAGACACTCTAAGCTCTCTTTAGCCATCTCTAACATAATTCTCCTAACTTAAGATACACTAGATAGAAGTAGCCAATCTCATTCGTAATTGTATATATGGCCAGCAATTCAAATTCACTTCCCCTGATTTAGTGTCCTATTTGTATTCTATCAATAAATGAAGTTCTCACGACCATACTTAAATAGAAGCAGCACTATGCTCTGATAGCCAAAGCCAGCAAAAAAATTTCATCACCAAACCAAAATGTCTTGTAGTATATGATTCTTTGACTTATTGTTCTCTCCTCTTCACTGCACTTGAATATTAAATGTTGTATTAATAGCTCACTCTTAATTATCCATGAGTAATGTACTACAACCAGGAAATTAATGGAGGAGAGCACCACAAAAATGGGGAAAAAAAAATCTCACTATCCCCGATCCATTTTTGAATAGGCTATGAGAGAAGGGAAGGCACACACAGCCTTGAACATGTAATTCAGCGCTGGACGTCACTGCTGCAGAAAGGAGTTGAGATCAAACCAGTTCCCACCACAACACCGCATGCAATAGGGACAATTTGGAGATGCCCCATCTGCTGATGAACCAGCGCATGGCCAGCGATGCCTCACCTCATTAACATTGCAGTGTAGGTCAAAATATGCCCATCCCATAAGCTGACCATCATGCAGAAGGTAACGCCCTTACTTCCTCTTCTGCCATCACCAGACCTCGATCCACAGGAATCTTTCAGGATCTGTGGAAGCAGAACCAAAACATTTTGGAGTTTCATTCTTGCTGACAACAATGCAGGACAGACAGGTGCTGGCAGGCAGACAGACTGACTCTCTGGCTGTAAGCAGGACAGCCCACAGTAGTCAGCCATGCCCCATGCCTGGAGGTGCCCCAAGCCATGGATGGGGCCCTGGGCAGGAGCCCACGGCAGGGGGTTGGGGCTGAGTGACCATTAAGGTCTCCTCCAACCTAAGCCACTCTATGGCGGGGTTCTATGAGATAGCTCAACCTGCCTTACAAATATAACAAATGCTTTTTGGAGCACTGAGATGCAGCCTCACAAGAGCAGATAGCCATCAGCAGAGAAGATGTAATATTCCCTTATTGCCCAGGGGAGGAAAGTGCTGCAAAAGTTGCCTGTATTCCAACACAGCACAGGAATCAGAGCTCTGGTATTCTGACCTGCTGCAAACTTTGTAAAAGCTCATTCACTGAACTGTTCTGCGCAGGGAAGAGAATTAGTTACTTTGTCTCTTACTCAATAAAGGCATTAAAAAATTAACAGGCCATTACTGAGTTTTCTTTGCATTTTCTGCCTATTAAAGTGTTATTTAATGAGTCAAGGCTCTGCTCTGAACTCAGCACTGTTGCTGCAAGGAACCTGTTGCAGGTTTGCCCATTGGGGAGGATCCAGGTGCAGCACAGCCCCTCTGCTGCAGTGCCCAGGTGCCGCAGCATCCACCTCCATGGGCTCAATCCCAGAGCTGCTCCAAAAGAGTGAAATGGTGAAGTGCCTAATTAAATATGTGCCTCCCATTGCCGGAGCTCTGCAGCAGCCATGAATTATGCAGCGGCTCACTTACATGTCAGCAGGATCACAATATTGATGAGTTATCCCGCGTGTAATCTGATAAAAACCAAGATAAACTCAGCAAAAATTGAGTGTAATATGATCCTTTCCTTTCAATAAACAATTTCCAGCACAGCGTTCGGATCGTCTCCGCCGCGTTCCTCTCTCTCTGGGCTCTCTTGTCACCTTAGGCAGCCTAACACAACGGCTCCTCAATATGGCCTAATACCGGCATGAATAAACAGCCAAGCTGGCTGCATTAACCTACAAGCTGTGAGACAGTGCTGGGTGTCTGTTAAACACTACCTGGGGGATATTTTCATGCCATATGGAATTAGAGGCTAGTGCTTTCAATAATGCTGGTGCATTCCACAAGGTCTGCTTTTTGGCATTTAGATTAATGCTGGAGACAGGGAGGAAGAAGTTGCCATGTCTCGCACTGACTCCCTCTTCTCCGTCTGAACAAATGACGGATGGCAGAGTGCAACTCCCACTTGGAAATGCTTTCCAACGCTCATTCAGACCCCAGGTCCTGACTCTGGCTTCCATAACAAGCTGACTGCTTTATAATCCCAGCCCAGATGCTTTTGCTACCCTGGGAAAAGTAACTCAGTTCCTCCTTTAGTTGAAATGCATCTTTACAAGAAATACTTTGAGGAGAGGGGAAGATACCTGGCTCTGGTCACCGGGCATGCGGCTCCAGCAGAAGACTGAAGGCTAAGGGAGGGCTCTTGTTTCAGCATCAGTGTGTGTCTCCCAGAACTCCAGGGGGACAGCACTACCCCCACACCACTGCTCCCTGATTCTAAAGGAACCAAGGCTGCCCATGTTCAGAACAGAAGCAAAGCCAACAAACAGCCAAGAAAGCCAGCAGCACACCTGAGAGCTCTTCCTCAGTCTGGGGATGCTCATCTGGCTGTCCTCAGCATATCTTGCACAGTGCCCTCGTACTGCCAGCTGCAGGAACATAACAAAACTACCAGTTCATTAACAAGAAGCAGGAACAAGGGGTGAAACATGGACAACAGATAGAAATGCTGCTCAGGAAATGGTGGGAATGCCAAGTGGGAAAGCAAGAGGTAGCAGCAAGCCAGGGAGCTCCATGTGCCCCACACGAGAGCAGGGAACAGGCGGAGCAGGACAGCAGGGACCTGCCAGGAACAACGGCCACCCTACACAAGCAGGGCATGGGGAGCAGCCGTGGGGATGGGCTCCGAGTTACCAGCCACCTGAGGCTGCCTGTGAGCATCATCATCAACGCTGAGCTCCATCAGCCCTGCAGATAAAGCTGTGGGGAGAGCCAGGCACGGCGCTGCCTGCAGACGCCTCATTTCACAGTTGTGCGTCTCTCTGCGAGCGAGGGAAAGAAACTTTCACAGTTTTACTGCTTCTCAAATATTTTAATGCAAGCCATTTGGCGTAATATTTTTCAAAAAATGGATACCAGCATGAGCTACATGCACATTAGCAAATGTCTCTACATTAGTATAAATACAAGAAGCAGAAAAGCACAGTCTGACTCCTAATCCATATGGTTATTCCAAATAGATTGCATGGTCTTAAACCTTGGCTTATTAGACTGAATCTTACATATGGAAAGAATTAAAATGTTGGATTTACAGTGCAGGCTAATCAGGACATTTAACTTACGATGCCCCAAAAGACCCAGAAGGTCAAAGCTCCCCAACACCTGAGCGCAGAGTCTGATCCAGCTCACACTGGTGTAAAGCAGGCAGAACCCGCGGCACAACGCTGTGGCGTAAGGCAGGGCAGGATCTGACCTCCTGCACTCCATGCAAGCAAGCTGCAAAAAGGAAATGCCTCATTTCCCACCGACTAGTCCATACAAGCCCATAGACAATAGGGCCAAGTGTGCACCGCCGGCAGCGTTCCCATAGAGGAGTGCTGTCTGGCACTTGGGTTGCTTTGCTGAGAGCCTCGGTATCTGAAAAAGCCATCAGCATGCCTGTTCCTTCACTTAGAATAAAAGGTCACTTCAGGGCTCTTAGGGGTTTTTGGGTTGGTTTTTTTTTTTTTCCTCTTCCCTTTTTGTCCAAACAAAAGAATTATGTTGATTTTTTTTAATTTTTTTATTTTCTAATACTTTGCTCTGAGATCACAAAAGCTGTTAAAAGCGAGGTATGATATCACCATTAGCAAAGCCAGAACTCACAGGAAGATGGATCTAGATTACTTACTTCTGCTAATTTATTTCTGGACAAGGCCAGACCCATCTCTGCTGCTTTTCTGCTCGCCTTTCCACCAGCACAGATGGAAGCACCCTGACCTCCCCCACCAAAGAGCCTCTTCTGCAGCAGCCTGAGCCTTGCTCCCTTTGTTTTTTGCATAGATTAATTCTGCTGATGTTGTTCTCATGCCAGTCAGTTGCCTTTTTATTACTTCTCTAACTACAACTTCCCCCAGAGTTGTTGGATTTCTGAACTTGGAGCAGTGACAGAAGAATACACTGACCCCCCCCACTTCCACACTGCTCTGTCTGCTCTTGCTGGCTGACATCTCCCTGCAGGGATCATTTCAGATGCTGTCTGCTGTTTACTTGTTTTTCCAATGTTGGTTTTTTTGTTTTGTTTTTTTGTTTTCCTTTCCCCATGTGAAAAGCAGAAAAGTTTTATGATGAGCAGATTGTAAAGGAACAGCCTTCAGGAGCAGCATCATGGGGCAGTGTTTCCAAGCAGGTACAGCAGCATGTGATAGTCGGGATCAGGAGGAGCTTCTGCTGCTGTCCCATAGAACACAAGTTCTGCAGGGAGGAGTAGAACTGGAAAACCAAGGCACCCTTATTGCAGCATTTGGGAAACCTGCACAAAGCCATGATGGGAGCACCAGGCTCTGCCACACAAGGTTATTCTCATTACCCTGCTGCAGAGGCACGGCGTGGCTGTGAGGCTCTGGCAGCGCTTCGCTAGAAGAAAAAAATGCAGACTGCTAGAGGTGGAAATCTTTTTCAAACTGTGCATTTCTTTTCCTTAATCTGACCAAACTGAAGCTGAAGCAAGCCTGACATGCCCAACCATCTAAAAAAAATGGGAGAAATTAAAGAAATGAACCAAACAACTTCCAGTGATATCTGAGTCCACCACTCACCTGTGCGCCGGCGGTGCACTGATGTCAGTGTACTGCTGCTCTTACTGCCATCACAACTGCTCAGTTGCAGAACCTTGGGCACCAATGCTCTCACACCACCAGCTCTCCGGATGTGCTCCAGCCCGGTTCCTCTGCCTCCATCCCACCAGAGACCTTGCAGAAAGCATCGTTAATCAGCAACGCTCCCTCTCTTGCAGGGTCACTCAAGGCCCCTGTGGAGGCGGGAGAGAAGATTTTAATGGCATCAGAGACCCTTTAATGATTACGTCAAGTGGCGAGTCATTTATTAGTCTCCTTAGCTGCCTGAAAACATAGGTAGTGAAAGACTGGAGCACAGCATTTAATGGCTCCTTGCTGCCCATCGCAGGACGTGCACTGCATGCCAAGGCTCCCACCAGCAGCACTGGGAACAGGGCCCCTTCCTCGGCCAGGCTGGGAACACAGGCACCAGGATGGGTCTCCCCAGTTGCTCTGTGCTGTGACTGCGACAGGAGCATCTTCCTTTTGCTGAAAGCACCATCGGATTTGGCTGACAGGAGACGCAATGGAATTTGAAAAGGCTACAGATGGATAGCCACGCTCAGGCCAGTTACACCAGCACTGAAAAGAGCTTTGCAAAAATACCTATCAGGGAACCGTCTTGCACTAACTACAGCTTAATTGCCAGCTCCTCTCTCCAGCCTCTCATTACAGAGGACTGGAGAAAGATGGGGAGCGCGTTCACCTTCTGCTTTTCAAGGAAATGATTAAACTTGGATCAGCTTTTCATCTTTCCCACAAAAAAAAGTGCTCTGTCATCTTGTGCCCGCTCACCTCGGCGAAGACGAGATGACATCTCTGGCTAAAGGCCAACAGTTCTGCACCTCCTTGTCACTTTTAACAAGAAAATAATCCTGCAGAAACACTTGAAAAACAAATCGGTGTTGACACTCCTCATCTGCTAGGTACATTTTATGAAAGGAAAGAAATACTGCATTAGCGTTTGACCCCCTCACCTTCTTGACATTGGAAGAAAATAGAGAGGCACTCAGAAAAGCTGATGCTGGAATAACAAAATAATGGGAGCAGGCAGGAGCCCGCATGGCCCACGGGCTGCACAGCGAGCCGCCAGCCAAGCTCTGCCTCTGGGAGAGGAGAGCTGGAGGCTCACTCCTAGAGAAGGGGCATGCAGGACATCTCCAAAAGGCTTTTCAGCCCTGCAAAGCGGGCTCTGTGCTCAGCACTGCAGCCTCCAAATGAACCAGCTGCTGTCCTCTTGCTGTGCAGCACTTTGTGCCGGCTCCACTCTCACACTGCCGCATGGTCCTCAGGGCTGCTTGCACTCATAAAGAAGGCTGTGATCTGCACTGCTCTGCACGCTCACCAAGGCATGCCCCAAGCTTCTGGCTTCCGTAGCTTGCAGACAGCAACAAGCCAGCTTCCCCTGCTCCCAGTACTGCTGGCTGCCACCTTCCATCGTTCTGCCCCCGGAGCAGAAGTTACCAAGAAATAGAACTGGGCTTCATCTCCCAAACAGCCAGATGTGTATGTACTTCATGAGTACACAACTATCACAAGGCACACCTGCCCTTCGGACACAGCATTCAACCTACTCCGTGTGCACAGCACCAGATGGCCTCTTTGCTTCCCAGTGTGGCCAGGCGGTTCTGCTGCCACCATGACAGCACAAGTTGCTGCCTGTAGGAGGTGGGGGCACTCCAAGGAACTCGCAGAAATATTTTCCCACTGGTAGCTGTCGGCCTGAGCTAATGCAACATGACACATATCTCACTATGAACAATGCACTGACATTCAAAGCCTGTTTGCCATGTTCAAAATCATGCCATTGTCACTGGAGTGTGATTAGAGGCAGTTGGATACATTTCCCCTCTGAGCTCATTTCAAGCACCCCTTTGAGATGCCTGTGCTGTGGAAGACCTGGCATTCCCACCGCAAGACAGCTTTGTAAAGGTAGTGTGGTGCCCATGGTGATGTTGGCTGGAAGCACGAGGGCAGGGAGTGAGGAAACTCCTGCAAAATTGCTCTCCATTAGTATGCATGCTTGCCGGCTGCAGCACATCTCACAAAGGACCGGGCTTCCCATATCTGCTCCCCTCCTGGAAAGAGACTGCTAAATGCGGGAGCAGGAACCAACTACTTGTGCCAACCCCTCCACTCAGTGATGTGCACCGAGGAATGGCTCTCACAGCCACCACAGCCCCCCAGCACCCACCGCCTTCCCTCAGCACTGATGAGTCACCATTACTCATTTCCTACCCGCCTGCACAGCCCCTGTGCCTCGCTCAAAGCATGCATAGCTCCAGCTGCTAGGTCTGAGAGCACAAGGAATGGAGGTGTGATCTCAGGTCATTGGGTTGTTTACCGCCATGTGCTGGACAGAATGTGTTTATATATTACAACAGGTCTCTGTAAAGAAAGTGCATAAATAAAGCATGAGGCCTCTGTAAGCAGAAATGTGTACAGTACACCAAACACCCTGATCATCTGTAGCCCTGCACCGCCACATCAGCGGCAGGTCATGGAGCCCAAAGGGGGTGAGAGATGCATAACCCAAAGCATAAACCAAAAGCACGGGAGCTGCTAGCAGGCACACTCACTACCATCAAGCCCTGGACAATTGTCCCTGCTCCTTTCCTGGTTTTTCAAAGCAGGCCCCTGACAACACCTCTGTGCTGCAGCCAATCTCAGAGCAGGGCCAGACCTGCACCCCAGACCTCTGGCATGGCATTGTCAGGCAGCAGAGATACCTCAGCCGCTAACCTGCACGTGGGGAGGAAGAGTTGGGTCAGTGGCACATGAGAAGTCATCATCTGCCCCAAACAGCACCATATCCTGACACAAAGCCTTCAGACAGTGGCTGGTAACACTGATGGTCCTTCCAAACTGAAAAAAACAACGCACAGAGCCAGCACTGTGTCCCAGTGCCCAGCAGCACGCTGGTGTGCGGTGAGGCACATGGGAAATCCCTGCGACTGATTCCCTCTGGGCTGCAGGGGAGGGAGAACTTAGCATAAAGCACTGCCTGGATGCCGAAATCCTGCAGCCTGCTTGCACCCTGCTTATACAACAGCATTACACAACGTGGCGTTTTAGCAGATTGCATAAGAAGGGTCAGGCACACCTCGAAACCCCAGAGCTGCTATGCATGCTAGAACAGCCAACCCACTGCTGCCAAACACTCCCTGCCTGGCCGGGCTGCAGGACGTGCAATGAGCACCACAGTCCCACGCAGGATGGGCCCACAGCCCACATTGATGGAGCTGTGGGTGTCGCCGTGCACTGCAGACAGTGGGACCAGATGCCATACAGGGGTCCCTCCTGATTCAAACAGTTCTATGCTGCTCACGCTGTCCAGTCCCTGAGAAGGTCTGTCCTTATCCCAGGATACACCCAACCTGTAACAAAACACAAATATTTCCCTACTTGCCAAGGACTCATTAACTGATACCATTTCCTGAAGTTCCTGATCTTGATCTCTACTTCAGTGAGTCTCTAGCTATCAGTACCCAGCAAACATATCACCTTGCATACCCAAACACGTGCCACCTCCCAGGCAAAGGACTTTGGGGCTCCTTCTTGATGGACAAAGGAAAATGCTTCACTCCCTAGAGAATTTAAAGTCATTTTTTTCACAGAATCATGGAAGGATGAGCAGAAGCTTGATGTCATCAGTAAATTCCAGTCTCCATTACAGAAGGCAGCACTGCATTCACCAGCGATTTATAATTTCTACTTTGAGCTGCTAGAGAAAGTGAAAGCACAGGAAGGTGCTGCTGTACCACAGGTTTAAAATTCTAGTTTCCATTTCAACAAAATCCACTTGAGTACATCCCAACGTGTCACAAACCAGGTGTCTACAGCACAGCGCATGGGGAGAAGCTGCTGTAAGGAGGAGGTTTGAGCTTCTCCATAGCTGCTAAATCTGTTCTTTCTGCACCCAAACGAGATGCCTGCAGCCTGAGTGAGGATTTATGATATGGGTAAGCTCTGGAGTCTCCTCACTCTACAAGGAAGTTCAAGGAAATAAAAGGCAATTGCATTAGTGATCAGAAGATCAGGTTTTCTGCCTGGGTTCTGATGGCAGCAGGTACCGAGATGGCTCAGCTGCCTGACCACAGCCAGCAGCACTTGCACAAGGCAGGAAGGAGTCCCCTTTGCAATGTGCTACACGCTCCACACGCAGTTTAATAATCAAGCAGCCTCACAGAAACATGACAGAAATATGCTGTTTGCTGGTAACCACCAGGAGAAGCTCCAGGTAATTACGATAAGGCTCCTACCCCAAGCACTCCCTCCCCCTGCAGCCGGGCAGGCAGCAGCACATAGCAGTGACTCACCTGGCTCTGCTCCGCTGCAGGAACCCTAGTGTCTGCACAGCGGGTGGGCACTGAGAACCAACCACCTGGGGGCTGGGAGCCTGCCCTTGGGCTTCCTCATCTCCCTGGCTGGCATTAGCACAGCTGCATCCTGAGAACTCCGCACCCAACAGCACATTGGCCTTTTTCACAGCTGTATCCCACTGCCAGCCCACTCCCTTTTTCTTGCAGCACTACTAACCAAATACTGCAGCTCTGATCTAGACTAATAATTGAAAACAACTTCTAATGCCCTTCTTTGTGCTACTGTCCGTGCTGCTCTTGGTGACTGCAGGCCAGTTTCAGCCACGCTGCTATTCCTCATTTATTTCTTCTCTCATGCAACAACTTCAAAAGGGCCGCTGCAAACTCCTCCTGCAAGAAAGACAGTAGCCAAACTCAGCTCCTAATAGCCTTGTTTCCTCTCCTCCCCCCAAACATAAATTGTGAAACTACTAAAGTTGGCTGAAAATAATGATAACTGACAGATGCTGGGTTAAATAGGCCACAGTCTTTCCCTCAGGCCTAATTTAGACCGGATATCAAAATGATATAAAATATCATTGCTTGCCTTCATTCCATCAGGACATCTGCAGACAGACTGCTATTAACTCTTTCCTAGGAGTGCTGACTTTGTGCCAGCACTTGTACAAAAGAAAAAAAAAAAAGTGTTTTACCTGATCTCTTCCTGCTCTAAAACAATGCTGGAGCTCAGGTGCTCCCCAGCAAAGACACAGAGGTTCAGTGCTCAGCTCAGCACCAGGTAGCGGAGAAGGCACCGCTGTGGATCTCAAGTGCCGTGCAGCGTATGATGGGTCAGATGCCAACAAGAGGCCAACAGCAGGAGCGATGCAGACCTTGAGAAGGCTTTCAAAATAATAGAATAA